CAAAACCGAAGATCACTTGTCACATGAAGCTCTTCATGGTCCAATTTCATTCAAGATCAAGCCTCGAAGGTCCTTGAAGAAATCACAAGTCCGATTCAAGATCAAATGTTCACTACTCTTGAATCAAATTCCGCTCCAGATAAAATGAGTAAATTCAGACCTTTGGATCAAGTCTAGCAGAAGGTCATCAAGAACAAGCATGTGGAAAGTTAACAACAAGTAAAGCACCTCTTTCGGCAACTCTTCTTACTAAGAGACTGAAGCAGAATGATCAACGATCAACTTAAATGATTTGAAAACAGGGGGAGATACTCATCAGGGGGAGCATCCAAAACAAAGCAAGGTTTTAACGAGGCAACTGATGTTGATATGTGGGCATCCAAGGGGAGTGTTGAAAATGCTGGTGGGTAGTGAATGCCCACAGTACTTTGGCAGAAGTTTTCAATGTCCATGCAAAGTGAAATGGAATTTGGAGATGCAGGATATGGTATTGTCAAAATGGATGATGTAAATTTCAAAGTGCAGTTAATGCATTAGTTCGAAGTTGCTCTATAAATAGAGCACTCCGTAATGCTTTCAAAAATATAGAGAGAATCACGGTAAAGAGAGAGAGGAAAGAAGAGGAGAGGAGATAATAGAGAGAGTTATTTTTGTACTCTTATTTTCAGATTATAATGAAAGCATCAATGCTGCCCCGAGGATGTACTCCAGTCACACTGACTATAGAGGAACCTCGTAAATTTTGTGTCTTGTTTATTTATTCCACTGCACCCACCATCAATTTTACAACATATATATATATATATATATACTAAAACAGTTATCAACATACTAACCCCCTGGTTTTATGAAAACACCTATATATCATGATAAACATAGGTTTTCTGAAACCTAGCATGTTGTGCAATGTCTCAAATCATAACTTGTATATATAATAATCATTAGTGAATATCCGATAACTCTCCAGACCCCATGCCAGCTCCCCGTCCTTGTGCTAATAGCCAGAGGAAAAACATTTCAGGCCCTATGCTAACACCATAACCGTCGTCTGGGACGAATCGGAATTTATCCCTTCGTCCCGTAGCGGAATAGAGACCACTAGGTAAGTACAAAACCATTGAACATATATATATTGAAAAACAACTTCATAGTATAAAGTCATCCATCATATATACTATAAAGAGGTGTTCTAAACATGTTCTAAATATCATATCGTCATCCATCAAATATTTTATAAGAACACGGGTTATAGGAAAAATAGTAGTAATTCAATCTAGCCTCAATAAGCATGTTATCTCATAAAACGTTTCATAAAGCATAATCATTAAATCATGCTTTTCATGTATGCATTTCTACTATTAAAACATGCATTTTAGAAAGGCTCCACTCACAGATACTTAGCCGCCAAAGAGCCACGCAAACTAGCGGAGACAAAACGCCATAATAATTGCCCCTAAGCATATAAAGGGTCCAATTAATAAAACTCTATTATAACAATTGAATTTGGGAAAATGGACGTCGAAAACGGATTCAGAACGTCGAATTACCCTAAGAAGGGTCCTGGTTAAATTTCTTAAAAGTCAACACAGAATATTTCCCATAAAAGGTATGGGCCGGTTTAAGGTTTAGGGTTTGAAGGGTTAAAGGGTTTAGTGGTTAAGTCCCTAGATTAAAAGGGTTTAGGCTTAGACTTTTAGATGGGTTGGGTTTAGGGGGTTTAGAGTCACGAGCCTAAGGCCCGACTTCCAAATGGCCTAAGGGCCTTAAGCCAACAGGGTTTTGGGGTTTTAAGAGAAAATGGCTTAGGGCCGTAACAGACACGGCCCAAGGGCCTTGGTTTTTAAACTAAAATGGTCTAGGGCTTTAACATATAAGGCCCAAAGGCCTTTAAAACCAAAAATAAATAAAACAGAAAAATAAAAAGGGTTGGGTTGGGCTCAGCAAGAATGGCCTGAAGGCCTGGGAGGTTTCTTGGGCTGGGTTTCACGCTGGAGAGGAAGGCCGGAGTTCGACCGGAAATTAGACAGAATTTAAACATTCATAACTTTGTCAATACTCAATGAAATCGAGTGATTCAAAAACGAAAATCATAGTTCTTGACGAGACGAAGAGAATGGTGTCTTGCACGATGTCTAACTCGCTGTTGTTTTGGCCAGAAAATGCCTTGAAAGCTACGGAGGTCGCCGGAAACTAGGTAAGATTCAAATGGATATAACTTCTTCAATACTCAACTAAATTGGGTGAAACAAGAAGGAAAGTTGTAGTACTCAGCGAGAGGAAGAGATTGATACCTTGGATACCTGCCAACTCACCGTGGTTTGGCCAGAAATTGCTTCGAAAGGGGCGGTGCTCCTCGCCGGAAAACATGGAGAAACTTTTTAAGTGTTCTCTGTACCTATCTCCCCTCCAAACCACATACAAGGGTTAAAGACATGACTAAAACCCCTAAAATGATATCACTGGAATGGTCTCGAGGCTTACTAATCGTCTGAAAGGCGAAGGACTCGCCGGAGTTCCTCTGTGCTCCACTAAGACGAAGAGAGAGAGAGAGTTAATGCGGTGATGATGGTGGTACTGCCGTCGTTGTCGCCATGTGGGTGTATGTGGGTGCGTGTGATGATTCTCGGGGAGGGAAGAAGAGAGTTGTAGAGATGGAGGGTGAGAGAGTGTGAGGTCTGAGAGGGAGAGAGATAGAAATAAGACAAAGAGAGAGGTCGGGGAGAATGAGAGATGAGAGAGAGTGTCACGTGGCAACTAAGAAGATGGGACCGGGGACAAACAAATCAGGGGTGGGCCCCTTGGGCACACCATTTAAGACCCAAAAACCATTTTTAAAAGGAAAAAAATCCCTAAACTTAGTGAAAATACAAAAATACCCTTTTTGTTCCATAAATCCCGGGACAGGTTGTTACAGACACCACCTTCTATTTCTTACTACGCCATGTAACAAGAGACCTCCAACAAACGTAAACTATCCATGTGTACTTGTCAATAACTTTGCTAGACCAATCTGCGTCTGTAAATTCTCCAATAAACGATTGCATTACAGCATTCATGCGATCCTAATTGTGTGAGTGCATAAATTGGCTCACAACACGTACAACATGTGCAATATCATGACAAGTATGAGCTAAACAAATTAATCTCCTCACCAGTCTTTAATACCTACCCTTATCAACAAGAACATGATCATCATAAGTATCCAAGTGATGCTTCTCTACCATAGAAGTATCACCATTTTTACAGCATAAGTTACCAGCTTCTTTCAACAAATCCACAACATGTTTCCGTTGAGACAAGAAACCTTTAGTTGAATAGGCGATCTCAATTCCAAGGAAAGACTTCAACTCTCCCAAATCTTTTCTCTCAAATTCGGATGCAAGATTTACCTGTAACTTATGGATTTCTTCTAAATCATGTTCGATAATAATCATGTCATCCACATACATAATTAATTAAAGCATCAACTTGCCAAGCCTACACTTCAGGAGCAAAGTTTGATCTAAATTATTGTGGTGATACCTATATTTTCTTCATTGCTTGAGTAATCTATCAAACCAAGCAGAGGTGATTACTTGAGTTCGTATTACCCATAAAGAGACTTACACAATCGGCACACCAAAGTATTACCACTTACAACATATCTTGGTGAAAAGACCATAAACACATACTCTTCCAAGTTCCCATGAAGGAATGCATTCTTCAATCAAGTAGTTTAATAGGCCAATCAAAACGTGTACCCCTTAGCCACTATCATTGCTTTGTACCTATCCACAGATTCATCGGCATTGTACTTGATTATAAACAGTCAGCAGCACCCAATCAGTTTATTCCCCATTGGTAGCTGCACTATCTCCCAGCTTTTATTGTTTTTGAAAAGTGGACATCTATTCATCCATAGCTTGTATCCACTTAGGGTCTCTTATGACTTCTTCAACCTAAGTGGAATTCTATTTGATTCAATGTGATTTACCAATGCCCTCTGTTATGGTGAACAGTTCTCACATGATATGTAATTAGCAATTGGATACTTCACATTTCTTTTTAGAAAGAACATGTCAGGTGACACACCGCGATTTTGTCTTGCTGACAATTTATACGTACTCACAACAATATTAGAATTAGTTGTATACTTACCTAATGGATATTCAGAGGAGATGGAACATGCACTACATGATCAGAGACACCAACTAATAAGGAACGATATCAAACTCTTTGTTGGAAGGTCAATATACTTAGTTCACACAAGACCATGTATTGCATATGTTGAAGTGTTATTAGTCATTTTATGCATGCTCCTAGTATTGATCATAGGAATGCTGTGGATCACATATTGAGATCTTTGAAGTCTGCACCGGATATAGGTCCTATGTTTGCCAAGTATGGATCTAAATGTTACTAGGTATATACCAATTTTGATTGAGCCGGATGCATCACTGATAGATGTTCCACTTAGGTTATTTCACCTTCGGTCGGGGTAATCTAGTTACTTGGTGAAGTAAGAAACAAAACATGTCGAAGTGTATAGTTATTTTATCAAAGAAAAATTGGAAAAAAGATTGATCTGATACCTTTTTAAATTCTGAAGATCAATTGGCATATGTTCTCACTAAAGCTATCTCAAGTCGAGTGTTTCACATAGTTCGCTTAGAAAGTTGGGCATGAGTGATATCCATTCACCAACTTGAGGGAAGTGTTGGAGTGACTAAACCTAGTGTACTCTTGTTCTCCACACTTTATGGTGTGTAGAGGCGGACTCCTATAGTGTAGTGGGGAAGCTTCGTGTAATTAATTTCTTAGGTTGTATAGTACACTAGTATGTTCATATAATCCTCCTTACGGAGAAGAAATGTAATCAGAAAATTCATACATATTCTACCAAATGCTTACTATCCTATTAATTATCGTCAGATTAGTGTAAATTTCAAGATTTGTGTAAGAGATAGATTAAGTCAAACTCATCTAACAGTAATCAATTAATTGGGTGGTGAGATTATCACTTTATGTGTTGAGCAAATATATTTCTAACAAGAAGAGCTACTGTACCAAAATAAAAGCCGCTTCAGCAACCACAAGAGCTAGAAAAGCAAAAATAAAAAAGCTATATGCCTCGTGCAAGGAATTTATAGCTCAGTTTGCTAAGATCATAACCATGATTCCCCATCCCCACCACAATATCACTTGTATCAAAACAAACTAAACCTTCATATTTTAACATATTGCATTTGCATATTAAAGCTGGTGCTCTAAAAGTATACACAAAAAACCTCTTGTAACGAGCAGCCTTCTTCCTCTTTGCTTCATCTCCCTCTTGTTAGATCTTTCTGAAAGACAATTGTCGCATTGGAGATCTTCTTGCTTTTCTTTAATGTTCTTCGCACATGCGATTGTTGGGGCGAATGAACAATCACCATTTTCCTCAAGTTCTGAGCATGCTCTAGTATATACCTCGATAACTCGATTCCATTAGACCCACTGGGAAGTTCTATAGTCACCTCCTCAAGTTCAGAAACAAAAGTAGGGTTTTCTAATTTCCAACGCTCTACATCAAACCCGGAGGACTGGAAAGGCAATGAACAACAGGCAGATTAATTGAGAATTTCTCCAAAACTGATATAACGAAAGGAAAACTAATTCATTCTTTAACCATGATCAACAAGACCAGATTCCAGACAAGTCAAATGGAGAGGTGTACGGAGAGATACGCAGATCCTTTACTACTTACTTCAGTTTTCGAATGGAGGAAGATTCTGTCAGTATTTATGTGCAAAGTACTCAAATTTGGCATTGTTTTAAACAGACAGATCATTGCCAGGACTAGGTCATCAAGCAAGCTCCCAATATCAATACGTAAATAACGAACATTATCTAAAGGTCTTGGCATAGAACCTTCCTTGGTACAAGCAAAAACCTAAATGACAAAAAAGGAAGAGAACCCTGTAAGAACAGTAATGAAAACTATATGCGATAGAATACCAAAACTGAGTGATGGAAATCATAAGTTGGCCAAAAGATAAACGCATCAGAACAGTAACAAAAATTGTATGCGAATAATCACCAATACAACATATGCAAAGTATTATCTTTAGACTGACTAGCAGTATTCAGAGAAATACGAATTTTCAATCTGGCTTCTGTGACTAGTAACGCAAAAGCAATTACATCTTTCAACTTTCAACCATTTCTGATAAATTAATCTTGTTTTTCAAACGAGGAAAGATTGCAATCTAATAATAGTGGATTGCAAAGTATCTAGTTTTCACCGAAACAAAGAGAAACAACGCAAATAGATCAATTCAGTTTTACTATAGTGTCTCTTTACCTTGAGGCTCTCTGCATTTAGAATAAGAACTTCGACCCTGCATATACTGCAGAGAAACTCGGACACAATGCCAAAGTCATATGCTCCATTCTTCAGAAAAAAAAGGTCGGCTTTCTCTAAACGAATGAATTCCCCCAGATTTTGCTGGATCAATAATCTCCCTATCCATTTCATACTTGTAAGATTTGGAGCAAGAATATTTATCGATTTTCTGTGTGGAATAGATTTAATGTCAATAACTAGGTCTACAAGTTTCTCAGCTGCAATGCTTAGTTGGCACTGCTCCGTCAAAGAGTGATTGACAAAACTAAATGATAACAAAGACGAGCTTTCGATGGTAATATTTTGCACCCCAGACACTTGTTCGAGACATAATTCCTTGATGCAATTGCAGTAACATGAAAACCACTTGAAAAACCCCTCATCTGCGATTTTAACATTTCTCAACTTCAAGCATTCAAGATTAGAGAAAGAAGCTGAGGAGGGCTCTTTAAAAACCATAAGCTTCATGTCCACCATTAGAGACCTCAAAGATCGACAAAGAAAGACGCAAGATGGAAATGGAGTCAGTGTCATCCGAAATGAACCACACTCAAGATCAAGTACTTCAACGTTACACTTTACCGCATTGTGGATCCACGTAATCACTCGAAATTTCTCCTCTTCATAGGAAAATTCCTTCACCAAAAAGTAATCAATATCCCAAACCAAACGAAACTTTTGTAACTTTTCATCCCCACGACGAACCAAGAACCTATCCAAAGAACTCAACAACATTAACCGCTTACTGGACGTTGACAGATCCCTATGACAAAGTTCATCAAAATTCAACGACGGAGTTGACAGACAGAGTTCTTTGCATCTTTTGGATGCACTGCCAAAACAGGCTAGGTCACTTATACTGAGGAAAGAGAGAATGTGATGAACAACTTCGTCCGAAAGATCGTTAAATCTGTCAACCCTAAGCCACTGTCTCCCATCCATCTTTTTCTATCTTTTTCTTCAGTATGACGCCAACTCGAACCCTAAACCCTAAACCCTAAACTACACGTTCTATCAGAAACCAAGCCCACTTACGTCTTTCTTCTATTCCCACTTTCTAATCAAACTTCCTCTTCACAATCGATCATTCCTGGCACGATGGGATAACAAAACAAAAGATCGATTTTTCTGAACCAAAATAAAGATAAGTAGTAATAGTAGTCTTGATATTAAAACGTACCATTCACGCAACCCAAGAAAATTCGAGCATACCCTCCTCTTCCTGGCCAAACAAAGAACCCTAATTTTTGTTAATTTGGGGTTTGACCAAAAACATCAGTGCGATTGTATACGAAAGAAAAAACACAAAATTTGTTAATTTGGGGATATTCTACGGGTTTCAATTGGGTCACGTTTGAACCATAAAAAAATTGCCCTTGGGCCAACCCTCAAAGTCTCTCAACTTTTTCGGACCAAACCACCGATTATTGCTAGCCTTTCAATTTTACCGCAGGTCCAACACCAATCATGTTTATGTACCATGTGGAAGCTCGATTCCTCGAAAAAAAAAAAAAAAAAAAAAACAACGGACACTGATAATTATTACAGTTGAAACATTTAATTGGAATCATTGATTTTATTTGGTGCATTGATCTATAAATTGCGGTTGCCAAGAGATCAAAATCCTAAAATGAAATGATAACTAAGGATCCGATTGATAACCGTGTTATAACCAAGACCATTCGGAACCAAACCAATCAGGAGAGCTTGACAATGTCCACTTCTTGCAAATAGATATACAATAGACAATAGAGCAATTGCAAATAGTTTTCTGATATATTATTCTAACGCCCTTAGGAGGTATCAACTCTCCTTAACAAGAGCATTTAACCAACTAATCACGCGATTAATTACATATGTGATATGATACATGGATATAATGTAAACCAGAGGAATTTTCTTTTAGTCTGGAGGTCAGGGAGGGGTTATGTGGCTTTAAGCACGAAAACGTTGATTGGAACTGATAACCTGTACTGCACAATTGGAAACATAATTTTCAGGCTACTATCATCCGGCTAGATGAAAAAGACAGTGGATCAAAGATCATCTTTGGTACTAAAACCATAACAGAAGTAACAGAATAAGAAAGCCATGAATTTCAAGAAAAACGGAGTTTTTCCATTAACTTTTGAGAAACAAAAGCAATTACCATATCAATCGCCGTCAGTTGTGTGGAAGAGAGGGTGAGAGAGCAACACATTATGCATTGAAGAATAATATGGATCGGATATAACTGATCTGTGTGACAACATTTTAACTTAAACAAAAGAATTCTGTTGTAACAGCCATTCTTTCACTAGTCTAGGCACCCACAGTTTTTCAAAAGAAAAGAAAAACTTTACCCTGAAAATGTTTCGACTTTCGACCCATCTTCCATGAAGCCATGTTTGCCTATACCTTTTCTCTTGCTTTGACTCACGAGGTAGATGTCCTGCAGAATGTGTTTTTCTGATATTATCTTTGAGTTTGAAGTACCCAGGACCCAAAGTACCTCATCACCCTTAGCAGGTTGGGATAGAAATGCTCGGGACTTAATGGAAAACTACTGCTGATTTATCATTCCTTTCTTCTTCCCGTAGCATCAGAATAGATGTGACCATAGTGCAAAAGACCATCATATATTCATAATCCATTGGATACTGCTACCAAGTGTTCATTTAAACTACTTAAAACTCCATACAGTTCCTTTCTTTGCTCATGCCTTGTATCATAGGCTAGAAACTCATGGATCTTGTTACCCAATTGGATTGAGCTACAACCAGGAACTTTCTCTATTCCCTGCTGTCTCATTGCTAACCGATAGGTCAGCACATCTTTCCATTGTCCAATTGATGCACTCAAATTTGATATTAGAGTTAAATAGCTGGGATTCGCAGGCTCCTGCTCCATAATCCGTCTGGTTAGAGACTCTAACAGATCTCCATTTCCATGAATCTTACAGGAACCAAGTAGACTTCCCCAAATGACAGCATTTGGCTTCAAATGCATGCTTTCTAAGAACCTGACTGCTTCTTCCAACTTCCCGGCCCGACCTAAAAGATCAACCATGCAACCATAGTGCTCTATTCGGGGTTTGATATTCAACTCTTGTTCCATCTGGTTAAATATTCTTTTGCCCTCTTCCACCAACCCTCCATGAGTGCAAGCTGACAGAACAGCAATGAAAATGACATCATCTGGTTTTGTTCCTTCTAAACACATAGTATCGAAGAGAAATATGGCTTCTCTACACAACCCATTAATAGCGAGACCTGAAACCATTGTTGTCCATGTAATTATACATCTTTTAGCCATCTTTTTAAAAACTGCTTTTGCACTTTCTACATCTCCACACTTTGCAAACATGTCTATTAGTGCATTGCCCAAGGGGATAGACAAATCCAACATGTTTCTCTCAATATAGGATTCAATCCATTTTCCATGTTCTAGAGAGCCCAAGTGAGTGCATGCAGATAGTATACTGATCATAGTACTCTGATCCGGCCTGCACTTTCCGTCTATCAACATCTGGCGGAACACAAAAAGTGCTTGATCAAACATGTGGTTATGAACATAACCTGCAATCATAGCATTCCATGACACAACATTTTTAAATGGCATCTTATTGAATAAGTTCATCGCTGATTCAAGATCTCCAATAGCGGTGTACCCTGATATCATGGCCGTCCAAGAAACTACTGTTTTCTGGGGCATCTGTTCAAACAAACACTGTGCAGACTTGACATCACCCAACCGTATATACGCAGTTATCAATGAATTCCACGAAACTTCATTTCTTTCTGGCATCCTCTCAAAAACTGAATGAGCTAATTCCATATTTCCAGCTTTGGAAAGACCAGAAACAACAGAGTTCCACGTCACAATGCTCCTCTCTTGCATTGAATGAAACAATCGCATAGCAGGTTCTATCTCACCACGTGCCATGTAAGCAGCAATCATAGTATTCCATGAAATCACATCTCTTTCAGGCATTTCACCAAACACCTGGGAAGCCAAATCCAACCCCACTCCGCATTTAGCATAGAAATCCAAAAGGGTATTCTGAACAAACACACTAGAGCCAAAACCCATTTTGACAATGTCAGCATGAACCATTGTGCCATCTTCAAGGGCCACAAAAGATTCACAGCCCCTAAGAAGAGAAGTGAAAGTGAAACTGTTTGGCGCAATCCTAGACGCCTTCATTTGATTATACACTCGCAACACATCTATACGATTCTTTCCTATACAGCATTTTATCAATGTATTGTACGCGACAACATTGGGACAACAAGAACTTTGAAAAATAGAATAGGCATAATGAAGAGAACCCAGTTCTGAGGAGAGAGTGAGGAGCTTGGGAAGCAAAAAGCTAGTATGTTGGAGTCCATGGACAAAAATCTGAAGATGGGTTTGTTTCAGTTCTTTGAGAGACTTGCAGTCTTGCATGATCTTCAGCAGTATGCGGTCCATTGTGATCGTTCTTCATTCAAAAGACATTTACTCTTGTTATGCAAGCAGGGAAATCAAGAGGGAACATATTTGGTAAAATCTTCCGCTACTGTATAGTAAAGCCCTCCTCTTTTGGAGACACAGGCTTCACCAAAATAAAAAATAAAAAAAATTATCCCAGATTTCTATTTCTTTCTATCAATGATGCTTGGCCGACACCTTACATGGTGCTCAAAAACTTTCTTAATGTCTTTCTCAACCAGCAAGCTCTTGGGTGCACCAACCCCGTATGCAATCACGATCCCGCAAGCTTCAGCATCATCTGCCAAGGGAAATTGAGGTTCAAGTGTTGTGTAGTATGGCGCAAGTAAGAAGTCACATTATAAAATAGTATCAAGCTGCTCCAGAGAAGTTGAAAAAAAAAAAACGGAATTACGGACTAACACCAACATTACTATGAAAGTAAGACACAGAAGTTCTAGTGATTACCTGAAGCGACGCAACATTAGTGACGCGAAACCGTCGTTCCGGCATTTATTCAAACACTTGGTCGGCACTCAGAAACTGACGAAAGAAGGAGCTCAAGACGGTAGGAGAGCAAGTGGGTATCGGTGAAAAGAGCTTGCTGTTCGCATTTCTGAATTTCTCTGCTTTCCTCTTGTACTAGAAATTAAACTCCACTGTATCTGTGTGGATGGTTCCAGTTGAAGACTTTGTATAGCAGACTTTCTTCTGAGTTTCGCGCCTTCAAATTGTCTTATATTTTTTAACGAAAATGTTTGAAAACTTTTGACTATTAACTATAAGGATAAAATAAAGGGTAAAGTGAATAGTATCAGGAATGACTTTTTAGTGTAAAAATATGATTTTTCGTTAAAATAAACCGTACCGGAAGTTTTTCGTTAAAGCTTCTTTTTTTTAATTCCTTCCTTTTGTTTTACAATAATAACCGTTCTTAATATTTGTAGAGAACTTGATACAAAATTTGCTTGTTGGTCGAAAAAAATTTCAGCGTGTGAATATAGTTTGGTACATTAAATGTAGGAAATTTTTGTTTTTTTTCCAGCAATTTGCATAATTATACTTGTGTACGGAACTGTGTGTTCTAGCACATTGAAAATTCCTTTGTTTGGTGGGCTGATAAATAGGTTATAGTCCATTATGAGTTCAAGTTCGTTGTTTGAATGTGTTAAATTGTTTTAAAAATCCTCACCTAGCGCCGTTTAGGTCCTGTCTAAGCGTTAGACGGTTTGTTACTAACACGATTAATCTTTAGAGGTTTAAAAAATAAGAAAATACGGCTAGACCTGACATGTGAATAACAAGAATACGTGTTATGTTTTTCTTTTCCACATGATGTTGCGTTATTATTATTGTAGACTATGGGTGTACATATTTTCCATATTTTACTTTGCTTGATACATTGAAACATGATTAAAGAGACCATGATTTGGTAATGACATCATCACGTTACAAGCAGACTTTATGTTTTTGTATGTACATATTGTTCATCTTTTATTTGGATCAATGTATCAAAACACACACCAGATTTGATTATGGTAACTTGAAAAAATGTGTCATACTAGGTGTAATTAAACATTAACACATCATTTTCGCCTGAACATTTATTAAACATATATGTATGTATAATCGAGAAGTAATTAATTATTGGAAAAATTAGTATCCGGTCCCTAATTTTTACTGTTCATTGACTAAGACCTTATTAGTTCTCAAATTTTGATTCAAGTCCCTAGCATTAATGTGATAATGAATTTACTTGTTTATTATATAATTTTTTAATATAAAAATTAGTAATTAATTTAGGGTTCAATACTCACACCTCTATTAAACTTCTAATTAATTTTCAATTCAAACATTTCCAAAATAATAAAAAATTAAATTAAATTAAGTTTGTACCTATTAGTTTTTTTTTTATATATAAAAAGATTCTCAATTTTTTAATCTTAAATGTACCCATTCATATAATTTTTCAATTTTTTTAATCTTAAATGTACCCATTCTCAAATATATCAATTTGTTATATGTAAAATGTACCCTTTTTTTAATATAAAATCCATTCAAATTTTTTAATCCATGTTTAAACTTATATGGGTACATTCTTTTTCGTTGATTTGAGAATGTATCCATGTTTTGGTACAATAACTTTTTTTGTTAATTTTGGTTAATGTACCCATACATATATGTATATACACACACACTATAATAGAGAGTATAATTTATATTTTATTATTTTTAATCCCATAAATTATACGTTTTATTTAAAATCTCATTAATATAAACAATTACAATTTCAATTTTTAATTTTTAATTAAAAAAATATAGTAACTTACATTATTACATTAATGTCAGGGACTTCAATCAAAAACTAAAAACTAACAAGGTTTCAATCAAAGAATATTGATAGCTAGGGACCACATCCAAAGTGTCTCTTAATTATTTATTCATATATCGTGTTCTTTTTTTTCTTAATTTGCCCAGGAGGTCTCACAATCATATTTACTAAAATATCCGCACTCCCCGTGTCTCCAGTCATCAGGTCCACATCTGGGGTTATTACAATCTAATAGGCACGAACACACCAACCACGAGCACCGCCCCGTGACGTAACCACCACCGCCTCGCCGCTCTCCGTGCATTTTTTTGCATTTTTCTTTGCACAACCGGTTGTCCTTTTCGGTGTAACAAAGACTCCAGAAAGGATGGGGACCTATACCCGTATGACACATGTCACATAATCTTCCTGCCACCCTATTTGCTGCACTCAAATTCAACCAAAAGAAATTATCAGCATTAACAATTTTAACGACATATCAAACTCATCGTACTCGTATATTATGTGAATGCTGGCGGCGAGATTAGAATTTGAGACCTTCTCGTAACAAGTGGGAACCAAATGATATTTAACATGAAAAAGAACACGCACAAAATAAAAAGGGAGTGCTATCTACACACCTCATTTTACTTCTCACAAACCCCTTGATAATTTATGTTCATTGATCTTCTTCAATTCATCCAATCTGACGGCCGAAAATTAAAAAGGTGTGTGAGAAGTAAAATGGAATGTGTGAATATCACATTCCAAAATAAAATTTATTGATTTGTACGATGGAGTGGGATTTACAAAGATGTCCCATAAGAAACGTTGTTTTCAATTGAAACTCCTTTAAATGGTGAAGAAACTTCTCTTCTTTACCGTAGTAAAAGTTCTTTTGTTTTCATGTTTCATCTTCGCTAGTCTACAGAAACATAAATAAAAAATAAAAAACAAAATAAAAACATTGAAATGAGATAGACTTACGTGAAGTTGAGAAAAGCAACAATAAAAACACGAATCCAAAGAGTCTTGTATTCATGGCTACGTGACTATTTTGCTTCATGTTTTTACCTTCGATCCTTGGCTAGCTCTACATGCTTCTACTCTTTTCCCCCCTTTTTAAAGTAATTATCCTCTTCAAGTGGAAGAAGTGCGTTAAATTATTATGACAAAGTGCGTTAAATTTAAGTGATTATAGTAAAAAGAGAGAAACATAATAACCATCGGTTAATTTAATGCAAACCCTAATAAAAATAAATTAACTAGCGCATGACAAATTGTAACAACTCAATTGTTAAAAGAAATATAAACTCAAGGATAAATTAATCTCCTAGTAAAAAAAAAAATTCAGTTTCCAAAATTTTTGCTATTAAGTTGTTAATGCCTTAATGGTGAAAAACAAGTGCACTAGTCCTTCCCCGTCACCACCCAAATCCCGCGCATCCACATTAATGCCATGGTGTCCACCTACATACCCATGGTGGAAGACAATGCCCTCGCTACCAAAAAGTTACTATTTGTCCGACAAACGTTTGCTCGACGAATCAAATTTTGTTTCGAAAAGTAACTTTATCCAACGGAAGAAATTAGTCAGGCAACATTGGTCAACATTGAAGGTTTGTTCAGAGTCTTTAGGCGAGGAAACCAATTCGACAGGAAAAATTAATTTCTTCAAGCAAAATTTTGGCACCGAGAAAAAATTTGGAGGGTATTATGTCACCTATTTCTCGATGAAAACTTATGTGACATTGGCCGACACGCCATTTCATTGGCTAAACTATAAGGTTCATCGGACAAAGTGCAATGATGATCTGCCAAGGAACCTACTTACACTTTATCTGCTCAACGATGTTTTTGACGTTGTGTGACAAACCATTTAGTCAGGCAACACCCTGTTCATACAAACAGGACGTGCAACATTCTCTTTCTCTTCTCCTTTCTTTCTTTCTTTCTTTCTTTCTTTCTTTCTTTCTTTCTTTCTTTCTTTCTTTCTTTCTTTCTTTCCCCCAGTGCTGCTCTCCTCTGCCCTTTGCAAAAATATTCTCTCTCTTTTATTTGCTCAACGTTGTTTTTGACATTGTCTGACAAACCATTTCGTCAGTCAACATCATGTTCATACAAACAGGCTCGGCACCCTTCTCTTTCTCCTCTCCTTTCTTTCTTTCTTTCCCCCAGTGCTGCTCTCCTCTGCCCTTTGCAAAAACCTCCCTCCCTCCCTCCCCCCTCTCCCAATTACTTTGTTTTTTTATTTGTTAAATATTTTTTAATTGTGTAATTAATTAACTGGTCACCTATCTCTCCCTCTCCCTCTCCCAATTAATTTGTTTTTTTATTTGTTAAATATTTTTTAAATTGTGTAATTAATTAATTTTGTTTGTTGTAAGTTTGTGAATGAATTAGAATAAATTAACGAAAATGTATGTATTTATCTCTTAATTTAATTTTTTAGTAAAATTATTTATTTAATTGTGATATATATATATATATATATATATATATATATATATGTTGAGATTGTGAGTTATGAGAAATTTTGAATGTGTGTGTTATTGAAACAAATGTAGCTTAGGTGAATTTAATTTGTGCAACATTATCTTAGGAAATCTTGGTGTGAAATTTTGAGTTTGTGTGTTATTAAAACTGTAACCAACCACTTAGCGCTTTGGCGGGGTAGTGTCGCTTGTTGAACACTTGATGCACTTACATGATTTTTTTTTAACAAACAATATTATATATACTAAGGAGGAGGGAGTGGGCTTAGCTTCACAATTGGCTAGCAATAATGTGGTTTAAATTCGTCCTTGACAAGAATCAAACCTAAGACATCTCACTTGAAAGTGGAGAGGAATACCACTAGACCATAGTACTAAATGGTTAAATTTTGTTATTTAAACGAAGGCCGTCTCTCCCGATAGAAAAACTTCCGGATGTAAACTCAAGGACTTCGAGTTAACAACTGACCTTGTATATTTTGCAACAAAAGACCTCAAAGGTTCGCAAAGAAAAGACGAAAGACAGAACATCATTAAAACGACTAGATACCAAGCGCTATACGATGGGTGGACTTTGAAAGCAACAAGATGCAATACATTTGAGAGAACTTTCAAACGTCTAGATTCTTCGTCTGGCGAGCTCGCTTAAATTATGATAAACTATTGTCAACCAACCCTTCACTACTGTTCTAAGCTAATCGATAGCTTACAACAAAGTTAAAGTATCTCAGCCTTACACTTGCAAATGTTGGACTGAGTCAACATACTAGCCGTTACAAATAAATTTTAAAAAAAAACACTGGACGTTACTTTTGTTGAATACGAGACATGTAAGCTGGAAATCAATTTACTCATCAACAATAAACTCATCTGGGTATCCTATATTCCTCAAAGACAACCGTGGCAATATTGGAAGCCATTTTGCTTTTCTTTACCTCTGCTATATCATTACGCGGCCAAGGCGAATGAAAGATCTTCACCTTCTTCAAATTCTGAGCATGCTCGAGGATATATTTTGCAAACTGAATTCCGTTAGATCCAGCGCACAGCTCTATCGTCACCTCCTTGAGTTGATGAATAAAAGAAAGGTTTTGCAAACCCCAGTATCCCATGTCAAACCCAGAACCCTGCAGGAAAGGCAACAATCAACTTGCAAATCAATTGAAAACACACACACACACACACATACACACACAAGAGAGACAAAGAGGCTAGACTTTTACTTACATAAGCTTCAGGGTCCCATGACCAATGATCAGACTTTATCTCCAAAGTATTCAAATTATGTAGTCCTCCAAAAACAGAGACCATTCCTGGAACTAGGATATCATGGAAACGTCCAATATAAATGCACAAATGAAAAACATATCCTAATAGTCTTGCCGTCGAACCCCCATTGAACAGAGCCTACAAGTTATAAACACGATACCCAAATTATCAAAGGTAAATTTACTTGATCAGGCAAAATAATCTAACAGCGTTCAAGAACAACAATTCAAACCGAAGTAGAAACATAAATATCAGTTTTTTCCTAACAGCCTTTCTAAGAAAGAATACAGGACCAAATTGTAAAATACTAGAATAAAAAAGATATAAAATATTTAAAAGAGAAGTGTCTCGTTACCATGGAGGTCTCATTGTTTAGAGTAAGAACTTTAACCCTGCTTATACTGCAAAGAACCTCAGACAAGAAGTTAAGGTCATCCGCTTCAGGCTTCAAAGAAAGTTCAGCTTTTTCTAAACACATTAGTTCCCCCAAATTCTGGCGCATCATCAAACCCCCAAACCACTTCAGATACTTAAGATTTGGAGCACGGATATTTAGTAATCTGCTGCCTGTAGGACGATCTCCCCAGTCAATACATATTTCTTCAAGTTTCTCACCTGAGATGTTGATGTGGCAGTCACCATCAACCGCGTCATCGAACATCTCAAAACTAAACGATTTCAAAGAGGAGCTTTCAATGGTGACATTGTTCATTCCATCAACATATTCAAGATGTAAATCCTTGATGCACTTACATGAACTTGAGATCCATTTAAAAAAACCCTCATCTTTTATACAAACACATCTCAACTTCAAGTACTCGAGATTAGAGGAAGAAGTAAGTGAGGGTGCTTTAAGAAGTATATGGCCCATGTTCAGGAAAAGAGACTTCAATGATCCACAAAGAAAGACAGACAACGGAAACAAAGGTCGTCTCTCCCGATCAATCAGCATCCGGATATCAACCTCAAGGACTTCGACGTTACAGCTTACAGCATTGTGGATCCATGTCATCAATCGAAAGGTCGCATCTTGAAGAAAATTACGTCGAAGGAAATCGTCATGGCGAAAATCATCCCAATAGATACGAAATCGTTGTATTTTATTAACGCCACGATGCATCCATAAGAACCTATCCAAAGAACTCAACAACGGCTTAAAGCAGGAAACCATATGTGCATCAGAAAATACATCAATATCCAATGAAGGGGTTGACAGATAAAGTTGTTTGCATCTTTTGGACACACAGCCAAAACGAGTGAGGTCTGTGATAGCAAGGAAGGAAAGAATGTGATGAGCAACTCCGTCGGGAAGATCACTAATTCTGTCTGTCATACTCTTAGCAAAAGCTCTAATTCCACGACGTTGATAACTTCCAGCTGCCATTAATTTACGATTTCCATCCATACTGATGCACTTACTGGGTTTTATACTTTTACAAGAAAATTGGGTCTTCCATTTTCTGCACTTTTACAAGGATGGTGGAAGAGTTCAGTTAACCAAATTAAATACAAATACTCAGTAAAGAGAAATCATCGGTTTTTCGCCATGGAAGCCCTTAATAACATCAGACTTTGGAGAAAAACATATGAAAGCTCAATTCTTTACAGAAAAAAAATAAATAAATAAAAAAAAAAAAAACCCAATACACTTTGTAACACCAAAGGAAATTTCGCTTTTCTATAAAACTTATAGTTATCAGGGTGCTTTTTCTAATTTACTACTATCTTTCACCCATTAAAAGAAACAATTGATGGGGGTCGACAATTCAATCGAAAGATAATGCAATTTTTGCAGCACCAAAAACCCCGAAAGAGCCAAAAATAGAAACCCACTTTACCAATTCAACAACTAAGACAATTATTAGATTCATAACAGCACGTACCAGCAAGCATCTTCTTCCTTAAATTTGAAGGACCGATTCGGCACATTGGTGCCCATATCGCGCTCCGGAAGCGGGAGCACCTCGGTTCGTTTGAGGTACGGCTCGGAACCGGCTGGATCGGCCTGAAACGGCTTGAGATACGGCTGGATTTGTGAATATATGGTGTTTTGGCTAAAGTTGCAGAGGTCTAGAACCCTCGTTGAAGATAGCCTAATTTCGATGATGAAACAGACGGCAGCATTTGCTTTATGGGTTTAAGTTTGGACTGAAACACCATTTTTACTCTTGGCATAATTTTTTTTTTGTTCTTTGATTTTTTTTAATTTATCTGTTACAATATCAGAAATTAAGAAAAATATTTAGAAAGTAAATAGGGGTGAGCGGTACAAATATGGTATCTGTAGCATTATTCTAATTTTAACCTAAGAGTCTAAAAGATTACTTATATATAAAGTCATTATGTTCTATATACATATATTTTTTTTTTTTTGAATAAATGTTATTATTTATACTAAGATGAATGAGGTGGGCTACCAATAATGTGGTTCAAATTCATCTTTCGCGAGAATCGAACCTAAGATCTCTAACTTACAACTAAAGAAGAATATCACTAGACCGTAGTATTAGGTGACACATATAAAACATCTTAAAATACTATATTTTTAGGAGATTAATGTTTTTAAATAATTGATCTTCTCATTCTTAAATTATCTTAAAAGCTTAAAACCTTTAAAAATAAACCTATCTTTGTTTTTTATAAGATACATGTATCTTTATCATAAAAAAACAAAAGTGAACAATACATTTTGTTCAAAAAAAAATGAACAATACATAAATGTAGGTCTATTTTATAGAACAATTATGGAGAGGGAGAAGGGCGGCAAGAGAGAAGGAAGAATTAGTGAATTTTGTAGTGTGTTATATCACCCTTAGTGTTTTTATTTGTAGTCATTAGAGCACTTCCACCGGGGGTGGGATAGGCAAGCACACAACCAAAAAAATGGCCCAACACCTAGGGAAGTCTCTCCAGCCATGGGATTGCCTGGCACCTAGCCCAAGCTGGTCTCCATGCCAGCTCAAAATTGACTGACCTTGGGTCCGGGCCATATGACACCATGCTGACGTCATGGATGGAAGGAGCCCCAGAGGGAGAAGGCAAATGGCCCTAAAGTGATGGCCCGAGTTTGTCGGAAAATTTGAAAAAAAATGCACCGACAGCACGTTTGCATCAATACAAAGGTTTCCAACACGATTTATATGTTAGAAACCATAAGAATAGGATTGAGAACTTACCCAAGTAAAATGCAAGAGATTTCACCGAGATTGGACCTTGAACTGTCGGAGTTGTCCGTTTTCCTTTGTTGGAATCACATGCAGGGAATTAAGCCCTCAAATTAACCACAAAAATTGCAATACAACAGGATTTAAAGCTCAAGAACACAATACAGTGATAAATACATCACCTGGGTTAGAGATTGAGAGCTCAAGTTCTCGGCTTCAATGGCAGGACCTCTCACCATGCACCGATGTCGCATGCAAGGCCATGGTTGGGATCCTTGAGCTCCAGGGATTACAAAAATAATATTTTGTGTTTGATTTGTTGAAGGTTTTGAAGATGAAGGAGAAAGAGAGCTCACGGGAGGGAGCTGGAAGAGAGAGAGAGAGAGAGAGAGAGAGAAGAGAGAGAGAGAACCGGTTGGGGGATGTAGAGGGAGAGTATACAGGTTCTAGTGGGAAAGGTTCCTAACTTATCTTTTTTTTTTTTAATAAAATTATTATTTTATTATTTTATAATAAATAATAATAATATTTTAATAAAATTGACTAGGCTATTTTTTTTAGGGGTGGAGATGCTCTTGGCCTATTACTGTTCATTGGGGTCTATCACTGTTCACTGAGTGGATAAATGCGTTGGGTGTTGGCATAAAGTTTTTAGGGGTGGAATTGCTCTTAAGAAAGGGACAATCCATAAGGATTTAAGACTGCAACAGTCTCAAAATAATTCATTTATAAAGATTTAACTGTATACGTATAGATGAAAATGCAGCTTTAAGTATTGTTTAGGGACCTTAGTTACAATTAAACCTCAATTCGGTTCGCTTCTCTTTTTTACGCACGTAACAAATTCCATGAACTTCTTGAACCAAGTGACCTCTGAATGCAGTTGCAACATCATGAGATGCAGTTGGAAAGAAAAACCCCGTCTTCTAAAAGCAACAACATGCCTCAACTCCAAACATTCGAGTCAGATGTAGATCGAAAACAACGACAATTCCGAAAGCGTTTAAAATATTTTGTAACAAAGACCTCAAAGATCCACAATGAAAGACTAAAGATGGAACATCATTAAAACAACAAGATGCAATACGTTTGAGAGAACTTTCAAACGACTAGATCCTTCGTCTCGCGAGCTCGTTTAAATTCGGATTATCTATTACCAGACAACCCTTCCGCTTTCCCCAGTGCTGCTCTCCTCTGCCCTTTGCAAAAACCTCCCTCCCTCCCCTCTCTCCCAATTAATTTGTTTTTTTATTTGTTAAATATTTTTTAAATTGTGTAATTAATTAATTTTGTTTGTTGTAAGTTGGTAAATGAATTAGAATAAATTAACGAAAATGTATTTATTTATCTCTTAATTTAATTTTAATTTTTAGTAAAATTATTTATTTAATTGTGATATATATATATATATATATGTTGAGATTGTGAGTTATGTTTAATTTTGAATATGTGTGATTGAAACAAATGTAGCTTAGGTGAATTTAATTTGTGAAACATTATCTTAGGAAATCTCGGTGTGAAATTTTGAGTTTGTGTTATTAAAACATAGGATCAATGCAAGCTACTTTAGAGAAGTTGCAAAAAAAACATTGAATATTCTATCACACTCGCAGCTCTGTTACAACAAGCCAATTCTAATCGAAATTGAAAGGGTTAGAATGAAAGCAAGGGCCTCCTAGCGCCTAGGCGTCTTGCGGGGCCTATGTATGGACGTAGGTAGTCTAGACGGATGCCGGCAGGCTAAACGGTCACCTAGGTAGGTCTAGGAGCCCTTTTATTTTTTAAACCCCTAGAAATTAATCGTGACTGTAACCAACCACCTAGCGCTTTAGCAGGGTAGCGGCGCTTGTCGAACACTTGATGCACTTACATGAATATTTTTTTTTTTAATAAACGATATTATCTATACTAAGGAGGAGGGAGTGGACTTAGCCTCACAATGAGCTAGCAATAATGTGATTTAAATTCGCCTTTGGCAAAAATCAAACATAAAACCTCTCACTTACAAGTAGAGAGGAATACCACTAAACCCTACTAAGTGGCTGAATTTTGTTATTTATTTGTGATTTTCCATTAAACATAAAACCTGGGTGTCCTATATTCCTCAGAGACAACTGTGGCAATATTGGAAGCCATTTTGCTTTTCTTTACCTCTGCTATATCATTACACTGCCAAGGCGAATGAACGATCTTCACCTTCTTCAAATTCTGAGCATGCTCGAGGATATATTTTGCAAACTGAATTCCGTTAGATCCATCGCACAGCTCTATCGTCACCTCCTTAAGTTGATGAATAAAAGAAAGGTTTTGCAAACCCCAGTATCCCATGTCAAACCCAGAACACTGCAGGAAAGGCAACAATCAACTTGCGAATCAATTGAAAACACACACACACACAGGAGAGACAAAGAGGCTAGACTTTTACTTACACATTCAGGGTCACATGACCAGTGATCAGTCTTTATCTCCAAAGTATTCAAATTATGTAGTCCTCCAAAAACAGAGACCATTCCTGGAACTAGGATATCACCGAAGCTTCCAATAGAAATGCACAAATGAAAAACATATCCTAATAGTTTTGCCGTCAAACCCCCATTGAACAGAGCCTACAAGTTATAAACACGATACCCAAATTATCAAAAGGTAAATTTACTTGATCAGGCAAAGTAATCTAACAGCGTTCCAGAACAACAGTTCAAACCGAACTAGAAACATAAATATCAGTTTTTTCTAGCAAGTGTGATTTTAAATTTAGTTTCAAATTGATTTAACCAACTCTAACAGCCTTTCTAAGAAATAAACCAGGACCAAATTGTAAAATACTAGAATAAAAAAGATATAAAATATTTAAAAGAGAAGTGTCTCGCTACCATGGTGGTCTCATGGTTTAGAGTCAGAACTTTAACCCTGCTTATACTGCAAAGAACCTCAGACAAGAAGTTAAGGTCATCCACTTCAGGCATCAAAGAAAGTTCAGCTTTTTCTAAACACATTAGTTCCCCCAAATTTTGGCGCATCATCAAACACCCAAACCACTTCAGATACTTAAGATTTGGAGCACGGATATTTAGTAATCTGCAGCCTGTAGGAGTATGTTCCCAGCTGATACATATTTCTTCAAGTTTCTCACCTGAGATGTTGATGTGGCAGGCACCGTCAGCCGAGTCAGCGACCATCACAAAACTAAACGATTTCAAAGAGGAGCTTTCAATGGTGACATTGTTTATTCCATCAAGATATTCAAGATGTAAATCCTTGATGCACTTACATGAACTTGAGATCCATTTGAAAAAGTCCTCGTCTTTTATACAAACACATCTCAACTCCAAGTACTCGAGATTAGAGGAAGAAGTAAGTGAGGGTGCTTTAAGAAGTATACGGCCCATGTTCAGAAAAAGAGACTTCAATGATCCACAAAGAAAGACAGACAACGGAAACAAAGGTCGTCTCTCCCGACCAATCATCATCCGGATATCAACCTCAAGGACTTCGACGTTACAGCTTACAGCATTGTGGATCCATGTCATCAATCGAAAGGTCGCATCTTCAAGAAAATCAAGTCCAAGGAAATCGTCATGGCGAAAATCATCCCAATAGATACGAAATCGTTGTATTTTATTAACGCCACGATGCATCCATAAGAACCTATCCAAAGAACTCAACAACTGCTTAAAGCAGGAAACCATATGTGCATCAGAAAATACATCAATATCCAGTGAAGGGGTTGACAGATAAAGTTGTTTGCATCTTTTGGACACACAGCCGAAACGAGTGAGGTCTGTGATAGCAAGGAAGGAAAGAATGTGATGAGCAACTCCGTCGGGAAGATCACTAATTCTGTCTGTCATACTCTTAGCAAAAGCTCTAACTCCACGACGTTGATAACTTCCAGCTGCCATTAATTTACGATTTCCATCCATACTGATGCACTTACTGGGTTTTATACTTTTACAAGAAAATTGGGTCTTCCATTTTCTGCACTTTTACAAGGATGGTGGAAGAGTTCAGTTAACCAAA